TGTGTGTGTGTATATGTATGTATATGCATATATGTAAACCAGTAATAAGCATCACATGTTGTCCTAGATGATCATCATGGGCTAGCCCTCACAGGTAGATAAGGTAACAAGTTTCCCCCACTGTCTCAAAGTAGGGCCTTTCTATGAAACTTCTGTATACAAAATGGTATAAAGTGAAGAAGCAATTACCATTCATTTATATGGGAAAAACTTCTGAACATTCCTAGACCCAAAAAATAATCTACAAGTTAAGTCAATGAACACACAAACCCTAAGATCTGGTGGCCACAGACAATTCACAGCTTTGGCAGCTTGATGCTGCGATGCCGCTGGGCATAGTTCCTGAGGAAGGAGCTTGGTGAGGCCACTCACAGAGCTCAGAGTGTGTGCTGACTATTTAACTGCTGGCTGCAAAACAAATGCTGAATGCTAGTTCTGTTCTTTGTAAAAATGAAAATCTTCTTTGGATTTCATTCATTTAGCAAAAACAGGTGATAATGTAGGATTTTCATAAAAGTGAAGTGGCAGAAAGTGAACTTTTGAAAAGTACGATACACATTGTATACCCAGTTTACAGAGGGGCAACTATTTTCTAGGTGCTAAATGGCTCTACAGCCTTGGAAACCCTATACAGGGTCGCTATGGGTCGGAACTAACTTGATGGCACTTAACAACAACAATAAACAGCTTTTACCATCACTCGTCTGTCAGTTTGTCGTACTGTGGTGGCTTGTATGCTGCTGTGATTCTGGAAACGATGCCACGGGTGTTTTAAATACCAGCAGGGTCACCCACAGTGGACAGGTTTCAGAAGAGCTTCCAGACGAAGACAGACTAGGAAGAAGAAGAGACGGACTGCTTCCAAATATTTAGTCACTGAAAACCTTATGAATACCAGAGGGATAATGTCAGATACAGTGACAAAACAAAAGCCCCTCAGGTTGGAAGGCACTCAAATTCTGACTGGGTAAGAACTGCCTCCTCAAAGTAGAGCTGACCATGATGACACAAATGCAGTGAAGCCCTTGGAACCTTCATTTGTGGATGGGGCACAACTCAAAATGAAGAAAAACAGCTGTAAAAATCCATTAATAATTGGACCATGGAATGACAAAGTATGAATATAGG